ACAGGTACTGCTGGGAGTCAAAGGTGCTGCTGCGAGTTCGAGTCTAACAACATTTGGAGGGCACCATATTGGTTATCTCTGCTCTAACTACTACACCACCCTTTCTTAATCTCTGCCTCCACCACTTGCAAATAAGCAGGAGCTGGAATTACACCCAGTCCCACTATATATATATATATATATATGCAGGTTTTGGTGTCCTCGGGTGTCTTCCCGTGTAAAAGTTGGGGTGTCTAGGCGACGTTTCGACGAGGTCTCACTCGTCATCTTCAGGCTGGTGCTTTCGGCTTCTTGTTACTGGAACAGAGCAGGATCTCAGTGTTTGAGTTCCTATAAATACTGTTGAGGAGGTGTGGTGTATAGCCTCCAATGTTCTGGGCAGAGAGGAAGTTCCCAGGCTAGTGTGCCTTTTCTTCTTTTGTTCCTTAATTACTGGAGGGATATCTGGAGTGATTTCTTGAGTGATATCCTGAGTACCACTTGGGTGGGTCATTAGGTGTGGATTAGTTGCTAAAGCCTTCGTGTCTTGACCTCTTGAACTTGGCTTGAACTTGGCTCTGGCTTGGCTTCGTGTATAGGGGCGAGCTGTGGTTTTGTGGCCTGTGCCAGCCAGATCTGTGTAGGGATTGCAGGGGGGTGCAGCATCCGGAGGTTCCACCATGGTTTGGCTACAGGATGGTGTCTGTAATTTATCTGTGGAGAGGGTCTGGGTTTGGGTCTGGTGTGGTTGATTGGTGATGGCGTTCTGTGTGCCTCTGGATCTGGTGTCGGTTTTTGTGGGGAGGGCTAATTTCCAGATGTCTGGCAAGCGGGATGTGTCGTCACGCTTGTTCATGTTGTGAGGGTGTTTCTCTATCTCGATGGCTTCCATGATTATTCTCTTGTGGTGATGTTCCATGTTAAAGAGCAATTTGGAATCTGCAAAATTAATTTCGTGTCCTGTTTCTTTCATGTGTTGGAAAAGAGAGGAAGTTTTTTCCTCTTTTTTGACGGCATTCTTGTGTTCTGCGATACGTGCATTTATTCGTCTGTTTGTTTGTCCAATGTACGTGGCTGGGCAGACTTTGCAGGGTATTTCATAGACCCCTTGGTTTTCCAACTGGATTCTATCCTTGGGGTTTCTGAGGATATTGGCTATTTTTTGGTTGGTGCAAAAGGCTGTTTTGATATTGTGTTTATGGAGGATTTTGCTAATTTTATCTGTAGTGCCCTTGATGTAAGGAAGGAGGGCCATGCCATTGTTTTCTTCTGTGTCTTGGTTTTTGGGGGGTGTTTCTTTTGGATTAGCTTCGTAACCCTGTTTTGCTGGTATCCATTGGCGATTAACACATTTGAGAGATTCTGTAACTCAGTTGTCAAGTGGTCTTTGTCAGCCAGGCGTTTGGTTCTGGAGATGAGAGTCTTGGCTACGGAGTTTATTTGTGCAGGGTGGTGGTGTGATTGTGCATGTAAGTAGCGGTTGGTGTGTGTTTTTTTCCGGTAGATAGTGTGTTCTCTGCCCAGAACATTGGAGGCTATACACCACACCTCCTCAACAGTATTTATAGGAACTCAAACACTGAGATCCTGCTCTGTTCCAGTAACAAGAAGCCGAAAGCACCAGCCTGAAGATGACGAGTGAGACCTCGTCGAAACGTCGCCTAGACACCCCAACTTTTACACGGGAAGACACCCGAGGACACCAAAACCTGCATTCCTGTACCCGTGAAAATCTACGAAAGCAAATATATATATATATATATATATATATATATAATCAATGTTACCTGACTGGCAGGAATGGATTTACTAATGTCAGGTCTTTTACACACACACACACACACACACACACACACACACCTCTGAGGTAGTGGTAAAATAGGACAGAGAAGTAAGTTACTGCTCAAATGTATAAAGGCATATCATTTTGCTCAAGAATATTCTTAGCTTGTTCCCCTTGAAAGTACCTGAGTGCATATTACCCATAACAGATGTGATAGGACATCTTTTAAGGCTTAAGATTAACATTTTTTCCCATTTTCTAATAAAAATCATGTGTTTTAAAAACACCATGCTCCATTAGATACACAAATATGGATGCAGGCATCTCAATTTCTACATACACAGCTCTGTTATTGATTTCATCCAATCTTAAGATGGCTCTTAGAAACTTCTAAATGATTGAATGTGACCTCCAAGTTGCCTGGGGTGTATCTCAAATAACCACTGGTTTTAATCCTCTCTTTATTTTCAAAGCTCAGGTTGCCTTTTCTAGTCTAAATGTTGTCAGTTCACAACTGAGGCATTGTTTTGATAATGCACCAGAAAGGAACTGACACCTTACCTTTCTGAAAGCAGATTAGAAAATTTGCCTAAACCTACATCTGTATGGGGCTCAGCTTTATTGGCTGCCGAGCTGAATAAAGCACAAAAAACTCAAAGACACAAGAGGGGGGATTTAGAAATATAATTTAGCCAAGAGGAAACAAGAAAAATAAGAGAACCAGCCCACCGAACGCTGGATAAGTGAGACGCAAAGGGAGTCTCAGGATAACTTATGGCAAGCCTTTACAGAAAAAAAGGTATGCCATCGCTACTGTTCTTTAATGGTAAAAAAGAGTGAGATGCGGAATGTCAGATTGTATCATTTTATATCTTCTTAGATATGCATGCATGAGGCTGAAAATATTTCATTTCGGGAGCCAAAAATATCTAAGACAGTGCCATCCACAAACTCTGGGGCTTTCCTCTTCTATCTTGCCCGGTCTTGTAGTTAGATAGGCCTCAACATGGCCCTGTGGTAGATGATCCCTTTCTATTGCTTCACCTGACAGCTATCTCACACTGGGATCCCCAAGCCTTCTACTTTAGTTTCTGAGTTCAGTCATCAATGTGTGTCTGCCCATGTCCATTCAATTTCACCTTCACTGGACTTGATGATCACCAGAGTCTCCACCTACATCTGAGGGAATCCTTTGGGAGTTGTCTCTTCTTTGACTCCCTATAGTACAGTGGGGGGGTGGTAACAGTGGCTCACCAGCTTCCATACTTTATACTTTCATCTTATTTTGTTATAAAAATATTAATATACTGCTAGGTCATAGAAATATATCAAAGTGGTTTACAGCAATAAAGCAAAAACTATACAATAAAACCGTAAAAAAGTTAAAAACAGACACCAATTAACCCTTATGGAAGGATGTGTTCTTAACTACCTGTATAGGCCTGGCGGAATAGAAATTTTCCAGAAGTCACTTGAAAGTTGGCATAGAAGGCACCTTTTGAATCTTAGCTGGTAGGATATTCCACAGGACTAGGCTGATGACACTAAGGACTTATATTCTTGCTGTTGTCAAATCAGCCTCACCAACTCGGGGAACGACTATGCAGAGGATCTCAGAGGGTGAACTGGGTTTAAGGCGATCGAAGTCCCGGCTGGGGACGTCGGGACCAGGGGCAAGATGGTGGGGTGGGAGCAGGAACAGGAGTCCAGAAGCTGGGAGTCAGAAAGCCAAGAGTCCAAGGGTCAGAGAACCGGGAGTCAAGAAGCCAAGGGTCTGAGGATCAAGAAGCAAGGAGTCACGAAGTCAGGGGTCCGAGGATCAAGGAGTCAAACGCAGCAAGACAGGGAACGTGTTGCTGTGGCAAAGAGCTGAAGGGGAAATGCTGACCTTATATCCCTTCCCGGCTCTTGCCACCAGGTGCTGTGAGTTACCAATCGGCCTCACCTGTGTGGCAAACCCTTGCCTCTTCAGAACAAACTTAGGAAGGCCCCAGTCCTGCAGAGTCCTATTGGTCACAGGGCCTGGCTCCTGCACACACACCTGACACCCTGAACCTAAATCGCTGAAGGCTTTGTAAATACAATAAGCTTGAACCTGGTTCGGTAGTAGATGGGCAGTCAGTGTGGCTGTTTTATCAATGGTATAGCATGTTCTTGACCAGAAACCTCCTTCAGGAGTCTGGCTACCTTATTCTGCACCCGCTACAGCTTCCAAACCAGACCCAAGGGCAGCCCCACATTGAGCGCATTACAGTAATCCAGCCTCAAGGCTACCAGCGCACCGTCCTTGACTACTGGTCATACTGCCTAAGGCTGATGGAAACTGGAGTCCAACAACATGTGGAGGGCCATCCCTGCTATGGTTTAAGTACTCCAATCTTTCTTCACCGCTTTCCCAACAACAACACATTAGGCAGGGTGTTTAGCTCTGCTATGGCAAGAATATCCTCTTTCTCCTTAGACTAAGTATTACCAAAACAGCTGACAAAGGACATTCTGGCCCAGAAAAGCTTATGACACAATATGTTTGTTCATCTTTAATGTGCCACAAGGCTCTTTGTTGTTTTTATTTCAGATGGCGTAACGTCAGCAATAACCCCACTGTTTAAATTAGGTTTATGAAGTCTGACTCTTGCACGCATTCTGTACCATACAGTCAGAGGTATTTTAATGCATTTTTAAACCCTGGGCTGTTTTGGCAGTGAGATTACAAAAGAAAGACTGAAAGAGGGATAACTTTTGTATTTTGGTGGCTTTTGCTGCTTCAGCAGCAGAAGATGCTGGCATGGAGCATAGGAATTAATACAATGGGGTCAGATGACGTAAATTATAAGGAATAAATAAGGAATAAATAAGTTGTCATGGAAGTGCTACAGTTCAAGGAAAGACAGAATAGAGATGCAATAAAAATAAATAAAATATAAAGGAATAGAAGAGATCAGGACACAAGACTTTATTTAAGATCTTGTACCCTGACAACATTTTAATAAATACTTCTGTAAAAAGTATTGTTGGGAGAGACACTCTAAATTTAAATCAACAGACTAGCATGGGAAGGTTAAGTATGGGAGAATACCTGGCTGGGAATTCAGCACTGAGAAAAGTTGTATTTTTTGAAGACAGGATGAATAAGGTATTTGGATATCTTGAGGATACTTGGCACCATGTCCTCCTGAGAAAGTTATTCCATTGCATTGGTATACAAGTGTAAACATGTGTTGCCTTTATTATCTCTTACCTTCAATTTTATTCTCCTCTAGTTTGGAGGCATTTTCTTCTTTCTTTTGCTTTGCTGCTAACAGTTCACGTTTCAGCTGGCGCACTTCCTTCCGTAGGTCCTCACTACAGAGAACAATGTTGAGATAAATTCAATTTTCTTAGAAAGTAAAGCCACCCAGAAGAGACAAAGATAAGACCCAGTAAAACTGATAAAACATATGGAGTACAGCAATTCATTTCTGCCAGATTTGGCCTATCAAGTTCATTTTAACATTTTATATCCTGTTTAATTTCAAAACTCTTGATGCAGTTAACAAAAAACAAAGCAAACCTCAGAACAGGTTTGGGGTGAGTGCAGGGGGAAGAGAACTTTCTGTAGTGTAGGGAAAATTCATGGTATTGATAAAATGTTAACCTTAGTACTACACTGAATACAACTCTATGTTTTGGGCTGTACACCCATTAGTTCCCTCTTCTTCATCAGAATTTCCCTTTTCCTTCCCTTGTTGACTCCTAACCATGGTCCAGTGTTACATCTGCACCAAATGCTAAGTAATGTTGATACTAATAAAGTTCCCCCTTTGTTACCAGACCTGCTGCAGCACCACTGTACACATGCAAATGAGCATGTATCTTAACAGGTGGAGAATTGGCTACATTACTCCTGGGATCTTTACTAGAGACAATTGCGAACACACAAATAGAATTGCTTGTGATTGCATGTGCTGGGATCAGTGCTAATTCATGCAACAGAGGCTTTCTCTGGGGACTACCATGATGCTCTTACAGCTCAGAGTAAAGCTGAATTATACATACAGACACTCTTAAGGGAATGTACAGATCCAGATGAACCAAGCTTTTTAGCAATACAGGCAACTTGCAACTTATGTGCTTTTGTCTTGTTTATTTTCAACTGTACATACTTGATGCATGGAAGGCAGAGAGCTTAAAAGCTCTTTTTGCACAGGGTTTTCCTGGTGCGGAAAGAGCTTTTAAGCTCTGTGCCTTGCTTAATGGGCTACTGGAGGCTCTTTTGACATCTTACGAGATCATGGACGGTCCCATGAGATCTTGCAAGAGTTTCAGTGCACCAGATCCGGAAGGTAAATTGCTCACATGGGGGCGATTCCAAAGGGGTTGTTTTGACTATACACTATTTTGGCTTTTCATGCTACCCACCAAGGGGTAACCCTCTTTTATGAGTTACCTGTATCTAATGTTCTAGTTGCAATATAGTCATACTTCGGGTTAGATGTGCTTCCGGGTTTCGCGTTTTCAAGTTATGCTCCACGGCGACCCGGAAGTAACGGAGCACGTTACTGCCGGGTTTCGCCGCTCACGCAGATGTTCAAAATGACATCATGCGCATGCGCAGAAGCGGCAAAACGCGACCTGCGCACACACAGACACGTCCTACGTTTTACTCAGGATGCGAACGGGGCTCCGGAACAGATCCCATTCGCATCCAGAGGTAGCACTGTAAACTGATTGGGTTATCAAGTGAAATGATACCATCAGTCTGTCCAGAGTAACCCTATTTGGTCCACTCTGTGCTTTGCCAACTGAGGACAGGATGTCCTGATTCTGTGGAGGACGGAGGCAAGGAGAGATCTACTTTAGGTAGGCCTCCTCTGCCGAAACATGCTCCCGGTGGTAAAGGAGCAGATTCCATGGAGAAAGTGAGAGGGAGAAACAGGGAGGAACAAGGGTCAGAGTGTTGGATTAGGGAGACAAGTCCCAATGTTCACTCAGCTTACTGAGTGGACTTGGGTCCCCTATCTCTCAGCCTAACCAAAGGATAAAAGGGGAAGGGGGTCTGAATGAACTACTTGGAGCGAACCAGGATATGTGAATTAATGAAGATAATGATACTAATAAAACTGAAACAGTGACTAATACATACAACACATGACAATGGATCTTCTCTGTTATTATGTAAACAGCACTTGTCACAGAAAAGCAACCTGTTTCTCTTTGCAAAGCTTTGGCAACCTCTGGTTACTCTTTCCAGTAGACATGAAGGATTATGCAGGCAGAGTGGGAAAGCTTTCCTGTCAACCCCAAGTTATTTTGTGGGCTAGCATGGTGAGGTTTCAGTATTGCTGTCTACTCAGTACCTGTGCATTATATGGATAAAGCAATGACTTCATATTCCAGGATTATCAGTCTGGCACTTTTCATAAGTACCCCATTCACAGTTCACCACCACAGAGTTAAAGATCATCACTCAAGAGCAAGCAGCCAAGTCCAGAATAATGGATGAATTAAAGGGCATTGACAGAGCTGTGGGGTGAAGCTTACACTGCACATTCCTACATTATGTCCAACTGTAGCTGTTTTCTCCAACCTTTCATAACAGTAATTCAGCATCGTGTTAACCCACAGAAACTGGGATGACAAAATGAGATTTAAGCAAAGGATCCTTATTTCTTTCTTTCATTTGCAAAGGAATGACTTCTTATTTCTTGTAGTGGGCCAACTGGTCTATATTATTCCTATGTGACATTTGCAACATATTTTATTAATGGTAAAAAAGACAAAGGAATAATTTCATGACACATAAAAATAAATCACTGAACAGTGGATTTAGAATTACAGGAATTAGAAGACTTACAGGAGAGCAATCTAAGGCTCAAACCCTATATATAAACACGTGGGAATTACCATTCAATGGGTAGTTCCATTGAATTCAGTGGGATTCACTCAGAACAAGCACACAATTGCGTGTACAGCCGTACCTTGAATTTCGAACAGAATCCATTCCGGAAGTCCGTCAGACTTCCAAAACGTTAGAAAACTAAATCGCAGCTTCTGATTGGCTGCAGGAAGCTCCTGCAGCCAATCGGAAGCTGCAGAAGCACTGTCAGACATTCGGCTTCCAAAAGAACGTTCGAAAACCGGAACACTCACTTCCGGGTTTCCATCGTTCAGGAGCCAATTTGTTCGGGAGCCAAGGCGTTTGAGATTCAAGGTATGACTGTAATGCTTATTTCTTTGCTTGGGCATAAGAAAGCATTCAGGATCCATCTAAACGGACCTTAAACCATCATTCCATCTCCCAAGGAAATCACAAAAACTTTGTGTGACAAGGCACTGCCACATTTTCACCCAACTAAAAACCCCCAAGATTAACATATAAAATCCATATAAGATATAAAACATTGATATAAAATCCATAGGTTAGATATACTATTAGCAAAGACATTTGCTTTAATTGTATGTAACAGATATAAGCCAATACTTATCAATAGCCAATGACCCACCCCAACCTGAGCTTATCCAATGTACGGCTAAGCAGAGCTGGCCAGAAAGTAGACACTGTCTAATTTTCAGTAGCCATGTTAACAGTTGTTGGGATTTATTAGGTAGACCTTAATCTGATCAAGTAAGAATCAAGAGTGTGTACTCAAGGTAAGTTAGAACAGTTTAATTATACCTTAAAATAGGGTTGGGGAAGCTGTTACTCTCCGATGTAGGACTACAACCCCCATCATCCCTGACTATTGGCCACACTGCCCGGGGCTGATGGGAGTTGGCAGTCACAAGAGCATCTGGAAGGCCACAAGTTCCCCATCCCTTAAGAGATTGATCCTTGGAACACACTTTAAACTGCATGTGCTCCTCACTGTTAAAATGCATTGGTAGCCTCTGGAAATTCTACAAAAAGAAAACAAACTCGGCCAAACAAAACTCATAATTAACCCATCCCATGTTAAAGTTAGTTGCAGCTCTTTCAGATCTTTGGCTCCGAAGAAGTTGCTCTGCTCCCCTCCAGATACCAGTTCTTTTCTTTCAGCTCCTCTGCACTTTAGCTATATTTACCAAGACTGATAATCAATCCTTTATATGCCTGGAAGACGGCTGCGGTCTGCAAGAGAGCTTCTCTTGCAAGCTCCAACAATCTCAGAAGCCTGCTCCATAGTATCTTGTAGAAGGGCCTTTAGTGTGGCTGCCCCCATTCTATGGAATAGCAGTCCTGATGAGATATGACCCTTACTATCTTGCACTTTCTGGAAACAATGATAGACCTTTCATTTTTGTTTTAAACATATTTACTTTTTGTGTTTTTAACTGTTTTTGTTTGTATTGTGTAACATCTTAAGACAGCTGTAGAGAAGGTGATTAATAAACTGATGATGATAACAACAATTCAGCAATCACTGTCTCCTTCACTGGATGCATCAGGAGACAAACAGTCCTCCTTTTTCCAGCATGGCTGTTGTGTAGAAGTACCCCAATGTGTATTTGAATGTACATATTTCTCAGAGAATTCTTGCTTCTCTAAGGGGGCACTGCAGCTCAGTGGCAGAACACATACTTCGTGTACAAAGGGTCCTAGGTTCAATCCTAGCATCTCCAGGTAGGCTCTAGGCTTGAACCTTGGAAAGCTTCTGACTGTCAGTGTTGGCAATATTCAGCTAGGTGGCTCAGCAGTACGGCTTGTTTATAAGGCTGTTTCCTACATCCCAGTTTATCAGGACCCCTCCCTCCTTCCCTTTTCTACTACGAAACACATGGCAAGGCCAAACCTGTTCGGTTTTCCTGATCCTACCTCCCATGCAGAAACTGTTGCACCATGGCACTATGTAATCTGATTGTGTCAGGGATAAAATAGCTACTTATCTCTTAATACAGGAAACTGTTTAAACAAGTTGTGATTAGAAGAAACACTTTGCTTTGTCAAAACAAATGATGACATCAAGCCATTCTTTAAACCTTGTGTAGAAAAGAAACAATCTGGTGTAAATGAAAGTCTCATGGACAATTGGATGCCACCGACACAACTGGAAGTAAGGCAGAAGCCATCTTGAAGGAAGCACAGAATTAAATGGCTTGGTGTCTCCACGTACCATTCAATGATCTGTTGATCTATGTGCAGGGACACAGAAAAGTATTAGGATTTGGAGACTGATATGGTTTCTCTCTTTATGGTCCTGGGAAAAGCCAGAATATGGAAATTATCTCAACCTTGGAAAGAGAGACTCAGACTGGCAGGGCCCTTCATTGTCCTCTGCTACTCTGCAATGAGTAAGTTAATGATTCTGAATGACACACAAAAAGAGCTTTAACAGGTCAGTGAACATAGGACTTCTATAAAGTCCAAGCATTGGGTCACCTAGCTT